TGTTTTAGTGAATAATTTAAACAAAATATTTTAAGATTATATATTTTTCACTTAACGAATAACTTTTTTCCACAAAAAAATTGACAGTTTGTATGATGAAGAATTATTTTTAATTCAATTATTTCTAAACATATGCATATTCACCAAATTTTTCCTCTTTAGTTTTTTTAATACTATTACAAAAAGTTTCTATAGTAATAATATGATAGTTAGAAATTAGAAATGATATTTTCATTAGTGCATTATATACTTTACACTTATGAAATAAAAATATATTTTATTTAATTAATATTTTTTCTTACATTTAAAAACTACCTTTAAAATAACCAAACTGAATCCTAACGTCATATGTAGATTATTTCTTAATAATATAATTAAAAATAATTATTTAAAATCTATATATTCGCGTAGATAATATGTTTGTATTTATCTATTATTCATTTAACAAATAACATTTTTTCACAAAAAAACTGGCAGTTTTTATGTTGAAAAATTATTTTTCATTTAATCATTCTTAAGCATTTGCATATCCACTAAATTTTTCTCTTTATTTTTTTAATATTGTAACAAAAAATCTCTAGTAACAATATGATAGTTGGAAATTATAGATTGTATTTTCATTGATGCATTATATATTTTACACTTATGAAATAAAAATATTTTATTTAAAATAATACCTTCCCTTACATTTAAAAACTACCTTTAAAATAACCAAACTGAAACCTAACGTCATACGTCATATGTAGACTAATTATGATTAATATAATTTAAAATATATTATTTATTTAAAATCTATTAATTTGCGTAGATAATCTTTTTGTATGTGTAAAAATTTTAAGATATAATTAAGTATAAAAAATAAAAGATAATGAATAAAAGTAATTTAAGAAATGAAAGTTTAAAAATTTAACAAATATTGTTAGTTGTAACTTCTTAACATTAATAAGAATATTACATTCATAACCTTAAAGAAAGAGTAAGGGAATTTTTGGCACTTCAAAAGTTTCAAGAAACTACTCATCCTTTTAAGGGAGTTATAGATTATAGATAGATATAGATATAGATAGATTAGAAAAAATAATGATAATAATAATTGTTTTTGTAATCATAGAAGGTAAAATGTAATGTCAGTAATTAGGTGAAACCGCATAATAGTTTTTGTAAACGTTTTATTTCCAAACCCTGAAAAAATGGAATGTAGCATTCTTTTATCAGTATATAATTAGGGATGACATACCACCATAACAAAAACATTGTTGAAGAAATCCTCCAGTGGCTGTACTAAATCAAAAGATGCTTCAACAAAATCATCGACCTCCATGTCTGTAACACATTAACACAGAAAAGTGACGTGAAATGGAGGAACTAACAAATACAGGGAAAAGAAAAGAAGAAAAATGAAAATATATGTACATGTGAGTAATGAGTATATATATATAATAAGCAGGGAGGTACCAGGATGAATTTTACTCCTCAACGATGTAAATGTGCTCCATAAAGCTCTCTCTTCAACTGTTTCAAAAGCTGTCTCATCCACCTAACAGGATGCATCTCAAGTTTAGCATAAATGAATAAACTGAATATTGAGAAACTTGAAAGAAAACTACATGCAATGACTGGAAATAATGACTTGTCATGAAAATAATGAGCTCAAAATCAGGAAAAAAAAAAAATAAAAAAATATATCCAAGATAAGGAGAATACCTTCAAACCATCAGTAACATCCTTGCCACGAACAATCCTTGTTGGACGAGAGTATGCCTCGATAATTTTAGGCAGCATATCACCTTTGGATAAGGTGTGCATCTGGAATACATTAATAAAAATAAAGAAAGTGAAAATAAGATAAATGAAAACAATAATTCACGCTTCTAGACTACAAAACTCGCCCAGTTTATGGACTTGCAAAACCCATGTCTTGCCTGCAATTGATTCTCAACAAGAGATTAATGAGTTCAACAGTCCAGACCCGCATGTAAAATATTTAAGTGTTGCTTGGCAGCTAATTGGTATCCCAATTGTAGAATCCACTATTCATTTGAGAGGATCTAATCTCAGCAATACCTTTTGACAGGTGTTCAAAGCCTCACACCTCAAAACTCGAGTGTGTTGATATTTTGGAACCATAAATATAGAATGCTTCAGGGTTTAATTTACTTATAGAAAGGTTTTGGAGAGCACTCATAGATATAAAAGGAAGAGTAAGATTTGTGGATCACCACCTAGTATCAATGAAGAGCTCACAATTAAATGAACAACGTAACAGCCTTTTAAGAAGACAGTAATAACCAATCTATCCCGCAACAATATATGTGACTAATTAAGAATTATTAGCCTACATGAGGCGGCATGGGCAGAAAATTAAAAAATAAAAGAAGAGTTTCATCATCACTTACTTTATGTGCAGACTTGGCAGCAAGACAAGGCCAATTTGCACGCTCTGCAAGAACAGCGCGAACAACTTCTGGACTTACTCCTTTGTCCATCTGTCAAATATGAGTTAAACTCGTGAAACACCCCACTTATGCAACAGCAAAAGGCAAAAGTGTGAGACCTACTTCAAGTTAACAGATATAGAACTCATCTAATCACAGATATAAGGTTACACCCAAGCATATACACATAAAATATAGATAAGAGTAAACGATCAAAATATAGATCAAACTTTATATATAAAGTATAGAAACACCAGGGATATAAACCACTTCATATATTGAATAAGGCAGATAACACAACAGGAAGACAAAAAGCCTACAAAACTCAAAGATAGAAATTAACATGCCATAATTCGTAATCATTCCTTCGAATTAATCTACAAGATAATGTGCAGACACAAGAATATGACGATCACTATATCGTTACTGTTAGTTTCAGATAACACTGATACAGCAAAAATCTGCCTCATAAACAAGACTATCTTGTCGCATTTTTGTATTTAAAACCTGTGCTTGGTAGAACTTCTCTTCTAAACAGAAGGTGTTCTACTTCCGAACAGATTAGCCTTTTCAGTGGTCAATAACTATTTTAAAATAAGTTACTAATAAATCCAACACAGGCCCCACGTTCTGAGTTAGAAAAATGAAGACATGAAAACTAAAATCCTCTAGGAAAAATTCACCCACGTACCAAAAGCTGCTCAAGTCTTCTTGTTACAAATTGATGTGCCTAAAACAAAAGAGCAAATTGTTATGTTCAATCCACTTGAAAAGAAAACAAGAGTCATGCAAAGAAGTCCATGCATTGCGGAAACGGTGTATTTATTTGTTCACGCACATATACACATGGCACGGCCAATAACGATCCTACGTGGGAAGAGGCAAAAGTTCTATAATAGACCATTATTCCGTTAGATGCAGCTTGTTGAAAATTTGCAGCTCTATCTATAATTTGTATCTGATTCCACCCAGTACAACAGAATTGAAAATGAAAGGTCATATTTTCGGTAGTTGCTAGAGGCATTGTATAAAAGCAAGTCATCAACTTCCATTTCTTAGAAAAAAATATGTAGAAAATAAATGAAAAATAATTGAAATCAAATGGGCAGAATATAGCATCTCTTACATCATCTATTGTTTCTGATTCTACTTTTATGGGCTGAACAGCAGCAGCAAGCTCCAAAGCATACCTCAGCTCCAAATTCCTATTGGTGTCTACTAACAATTGCACCTAAAAGAATAAAGTAAACATTGAGTATATACCCTCTCTACAGATCAAGATCCTTCCAATTATACTGGAAAAGGCATACCAGACCGTATGAGATTCTTCGCAGGCCGAACGGATCATTTGCGGAGCTTGGCTGACAACCAGCAGAAAACAACCCGACAAGGCTTTCCAACCTGTTGATGAAAAATTGGTTTTGAGTAATACCAATATGCCATCACCAACTACTCCGACATAGATTAATTTCAACTTATTTATTTCCACTCCACACTAAATGGATTCACTTGAATATTTGGTCACATCGAGATCAAACCAAATTTCTAACAATGTTTCACGTGTGCCTCATCAGGTAGGCTTTTGTTCCAGTTCATCAAATAAAAGTCATTATCAATATACTGACCAAATGAATCCAGAATAACGGAAACCATCTGTTGAATGATGGACAATTTTTGCCTAATGGCATTCATCTCAACCAAAAAATGATGATCAGGTATCAACTATCAAGTTTTACAGCCCTAAACTCATTCAGTTGTGTAATTTCCAGTTTCTTACCTCTGAGGGCAATCGACTCTGTCAATTAGTTTATCGCATCTGACGTAGGGCAGAAGGCCAAAAAAAAAAAAAAAAAAAAAAAAAAAAAAAAAAAGAGGTTCTCAGTTTACCTGTCAGATATTGCCAATACTGTTCCAGCATCAGTTTTTGGAAGCATGTCTCCCGAAAATCGAGGAAGTGTGATCTCAAATACTGCCTCAGAAACCTGATATGCCAGAGATATAAGAGTCTTGGAAACCAATGCAGTAACTAGGCATGCTAATTACATAAAGAAGGGTGTCTAGCTAGGGTGGGAATGTGAACTATAGAAGTCCAATATGTGCACAAAATCAGAAAAACTTCAGAATGGAGACAGGTAGTAAATCATGAAAATCAATTATGCCCCCATGTAACAAGTAAAACATTTAGAAATTATGAGCTTCAGCTGACTTCAGTGTCAAGCACATCTTTCCTATCTCTAAGAACTGAAGGAGATTGAATAGATGGGAGCTGATGAAGAATCTATAAAAAAAGAAAATGCAATGAGATTATGAGAGCTTAGAAACAACTAGAAAATTACAGTAACTTTCCCCACTTTGTCAGAAAAAGCAGACTAACCAGCTCAGAGTAGCCATCTCTTAGGGCATAGTGACGGCCCATTACCCCAGCAAGGGAAGTAAATTCGGTAACAACTGCAGATGAAAGATCTGACATGGCTAATGATGCAGCTTCCTCAATGACCTTGAGGATGTCTTCAGTCATTCCCAGTTTCGATCCTACTTTTGTAACCAAACTCTGGACACGTGTCATCTTGTCCAGCATTGTTCCCAGCTTTTCCTGTTTATTACAATATCAGTAACATGGAACTGCACCGGACTTAAAAGGTTATGTTCTAAGGATTTGCATGTATCAACAGTAACAAAGTGCTATTATCTAAAAGGTGGTCAGATGATTAAACTCCCAGATCTTTGCACAGATAAAAGTTTGATGCTCCATCATAAAATATAATATAATTCAATACAATATAATATTTGTTTGTTACTTCTATGTACTGTGGTAATGAGACTTCCTCATACGTCCTACCAAAACCTTCTAAGCACCAAAAAAGATGCATCAAAACTGTTAGAAACTTACATGGAATAGGATCCCCTTCAATTGATTTCGAAATTCAGAGAATCGCTTGCTTGTGTCCAACTCATAGAAGAACTTTGCATCTTCATATCGAGCTCTGGAACCACATTTTTATGCTTAATTTACAGCTCAAATCATTGGAAGAACAAATCCAACAGTACATATATTAGGTGTATATCAACCTGAGTACAGCTTCATTTCCTTTCCTCACAACCTTCTCACTAATTGCTCCATTTGCAACCTGACAAACATAACAAACACGTGGATTCGAGAACTATAACCAGAGTCTCCAGTATTATTATAAATTTCAAAAATAAATTGATAAACAGTATGATTATGTGTCTCACAGCAATAAAATGTGGCAATAACATTCCATCCTGATCAGTTACTGCAAAATACTTCTGATGCTTTTGCATGACCTGCAAAATTTCATGACAATGAGACATCTAGCAACATGAATGACCTCAAATGCAATTTCTTGCTAAAAGTACAATATGAACTTGATCAGTCGTATATTATCCAAATTAGTGTAGCATGAAGTTCGTGAGTAGAAATTTTAAGATAAGTAGTGCAGAAATGGATAAGCCCCATCTCGAACAGAGACAGGAGGGAAATAGCATAGAAACAAAAATGACAAACCATTATTAGCAGGTCTTTTGGAAGCTCGAGGAAGGTCTCACTGAACTTTCCAAGAACAGGATGAGGTGCTTCAACAAGATTTACAACCTAACAAAGAGGAGAATCTTCTAAAGTTGTTCTTAAAGTGAAGAAGAAAGCAAAAAAGCAGCAACACGTCATACCTCATCAAGTAAACCACTCTGAATTACAGCAGAACCATTAATACCTTTTACAACAGAAATAGACTTCTCCAAGATTTTTTTCTTCCTTTCCTATAGAAAACAAAAACTCCACTTCTCAAAGATGTACTTTCTGAGCATAAAAAAGCACTTGTTACATGTCAATGTCAATTACCTCAATATCGATGGCGATTCCAGCATTCTGCATCACATCAGTGTAAGACTCTGCATTTCTAACCTGTGATGGTGAAATTTCTTATCATCAACCATACACAATTGAATTAGAGTCCATAAAGAGTTTATCCTTAAATGAAAGATGTGAATACAGACTGTTACAAGGTATTCCTGGAATTTGGCATCATGCTAAGTAATAAACGACAATGTAAGAAATCGAAATGGTTTTTCAACATCAAACAACTTGTTTTCCAAGACAACAGGCACAAGGTATTCCTGGAATTTGGCATCATGCTAAGTAATAAACGACAATGTAAGAAATCGAAATGGTTTTTCAACATCAACAACTTGTTTTCCAAGACAACAGGCAGGCAACAAATTGAGTAACTCAATGAACATACTCTACCAGAGGGCCGTTAAACTACAAATATGTCAAGCATGCAAATACGACGATTAAAGACTGAAAATGAAATAGCGTCTGCAGGATATATAATAATATAAAAAATTTAAAGTCTATCCATGAACTCGTAGTTCAGGAAATCTCCTAGTGCATTACTGTAACGATACAAGAAAGAAATGAGCAACTGAGAATGTTCATAATTATCATAGAGTGAAGGCAGAACTAAAGAGGAAGAAAATGAAAAAAACAAACAAACAAAAACTTTCAAAAAGATGGGACTCCCTAGATATGGACCAATTATAATAAGCATCGCCTCCAAGCACCACAAAAACATAATTCCTGTTAATAAATAAAGGGTTAAAATTCACGAAAAATTACTCATGGGTTGGCAGACACACCTCAATAGTGGCTGACGAAGTGTTCCTTAGCCCGTGAGTAACATTACCACTGTTACAAAAACTTAGATAAGAACTATAAATGAAAACAAATTATCTAGAACTATTATTGCATACGAAAATATAGTTCTTTTACAAAATGAAAAAAACTTATACACACAAATAGATGCTTCAAAACAACTCAGAAACCTTATGCAGGATTATACTTGAGCATATAGTACCATGACCAAAGGAAAGTTCTTCTAATTTACTGAAAATAAACAGATTTAGATGCACTGCCGCTTATGATGCTTCAAACAATTACAGAAACTCACATACAAGGTAAAACAAACAACACGTGTATAACTAGATATCCCAAATTAAAATAATAGCACTGATTGCAGGAACGGTATGAGCCTTGAGCTGGTTTTTCAAAACAGTGCATGACATGAAAAGTAGAAAATTGGAAAAAGGGACAACTACGCTTGCCTCATAACACCAGCAAATGTAAAGGGTACAACAACATCTCCATGCAACGCCAATATCCATCGAACAGGTCTGCTGAACATCACCTGGGATGACAAATGTCAGCAAGGTGTCTTCAGTTTATTGACAATAGGCCGCGATATATAAATAATAGGAGCAAGCATTGGCAAAATGTAAGAAACGCAAGAGGTATGAATAGATGAAAACAAATCTCCAATATTGCCACCAATAAGCAATCTTCCTCTTTCTTTTTGTTTTAAGTTATTCCAGCAACATAACAAAACATCCGCGTCCAAGGTATATGGTATAAATGATAGAATTAGAGCAATCATAATCACAAACCTACATTGTACACTTAAAGTTGCAAGCACGAAAATGCATATCAAAGATAAGATTCAAAGGCACAAAGCAAATCAGAATGTAGAGTTGATAGTTCAGACTGTAGCTGATACCTACACGGCTACACACCATCACAATCCGACCAAATACACACACAGAGAGATCACATTGGCCCATCAATTACCAAACAGATATCTCTTTCACTTGCTCCTACCACGGAGGCCGAGATAAATAACAAAGGTAAAAAAAATTTCAGGACTCGGGCTAGGAAAATGCCTATCTCTTGATAAATAAATAAAGTCCACCAGGGAACTTATGACAGCAACAGCACTGGAAGTTTCATAAAGATACCAAATGACATTACAAAAATTTAAGTCCATAGTAGAGCAGCGCAGACCTCAGAGTTCCACCGCATCGACTTCGGGAATGATATTTTACCAAGTACTGCAGGTAACTCATCAGATAAAACCTATTCAAAATCACAAAAGAATCAAATGAACAGATAAAACATCCGGCAAAGTAAAAGGTCAGTAAGCAAACATAAAAAAATATTGGGCCTGAGCACCATGGCATTGATAAGCTTTACGTATGCACTTTAAGGATATCCTCAGATATTCAGCCACTTCTAAAAATATGAAATGACGGGTTTTTAATCTCCCTTAATTGTTTTGCATATCTAATAGAATGGAGGCATAAAAAATGATAGAGCAGGATACCTCTAAAGCAAGTCGTGATGGCTCCACCACACTAACATACACGTATTCTGTTCTACCTGCAGTGATTAGTTTTCAGAAAAAGATCAAGAAACAAAAAGAACTACAGAGCTGACAAAAAATGATAGAGAATGTAACACAATGATTGCACCAGAGAGCATTAACAGATGAAGACTGTTAGAAGTTATGTTTATCCCAAATCGATTAGTTAGGGCTGTTATTATATACAAGGGTGGGTTGGGCACCCTCTCCTTTTGAGCTAGCTTTCGGAAATGAGTTCTACCCAGGCCCATTTATCAAAGAGGAATTATGAAGTATAAGTTCAACCAAAAAACGGTGAATGATAGATAAATTACATATGTGGCGCGTACAAATATACCTTCAATTTTTCTGTACAAGGAACTCAAAGGCACGCCATTTCTACGACAAAAGCCTTCAGATGCCTGATAAATGAGTAAGTTACAGAATCGTACATGATAAAATAGTAGGGAAGAAGAGCCCAATACAATATAAGAAGTCATATTCATCAGTTACAAAGAAAACTCAACAATTTTTTGGACATCAATCCTTCATTTAGAGTTTGATCTCTGAATAAAAAAAGAGATACAGCATATGTCAGAAAAGAGATACAACTTCAAAAGACTTGCAGAGAAGCTACATATTAGGTGAAAAGAAAAAGTGCCTTTCAAAGTCCACTAGACAATCATGCACAACGCATGTCACATATCAAGAACGTAGGAAACCAATGAATATTGCGACGCGGACCCAAATATAAAGACTGCAACTATTGATATAAAATAGTCAAATTTGATTTAAGCGAAGGTCCCAATATACTTGGGAAAAAATGGTCAACATGGTACTTAATCTATAACTCCCTTAAAAGTATGAGTTGTTTCTTGAAACTTTTGAATTGCCAAGAATATCCTCATAAAAAGATAAGTGTTAAGGTTATTAATGTAATTTTCTTATTCATACTAGGAAGTTACAACTTTTAATTATTACATTTTACTTTTAATTCTTAATTATATCTTTAAGTTCTTACACATACAAAACATTACCTACACAAATGAATATATTTTAAATAATAATTTGTTTTTAATTATATTATTTTGAATTAATCTACATATGATGTCAGGTTTCGATTTGGTTATTTTAAAGGCATTTTAAAATGTAAGAGAAAATTTATTTTAAGATTTCTTAAATAAAATATATGATATTTCATAAGTGTGAATTATATAATGCACCACTAAAAGTATCATCTTTAATTTCTAAATATTATATTGTTTACCATACAAATTTTTTATTATAGTATTAAAAAAATTAAACAGGAACAATTTAGTGAACATGCATATGTTTAAGAATGATTGAATCAAATATAATTATTCAACATACAAAATGTCAACTTTCTATGGAAAAAAGTTATTTGTTAAGTAAAAAAATATGATCTTAACATATATATTTGTTTAAATTATTCACTAAAACAATATGCATAATATGATTTATGTTTACCTCTTAATAGTATGTATAGTATAAATGTCTTTTATAATAATGTGTTACATGAATTAAAATAACATTTACTGAATTGTAACATAAACAAAAATAGATTAATTACAGAAATAAAATAAAATAACTAAAATTTAATTTTGAATCTTGACTTTTATAATACGTGTACTCATTAGAAAATAGTTACAATTAAAATTAATTAAATAAAAATAAATAGTGAATTTACTTTAAATATGAATCATTCATTAAAACTAGACACATTAAATTTTCACATTTAGGATAGTCTTGACAATCTGGGAACGAAGATAATGCATGTATGACAATTTTAGGAGATGCAACAATAATTTATGTTGGACAAGATATGTAGATAGGTGAGTATCTTTAATCAATAAAGATGTTATTATTCCTAAGCTTTTTCATGTAATTATTTTTTTAAAATAATTATGACTTTAAAGACATTTTCAAATATTTATGTGTCTCTTATGTCATTATGACTAGAGAAAAATTATATATATCTAGGTATTATGAAATGTTATACTTGCAAATATGGCTAATTGCAACCACTATAATCAAAATAATTGAGAACGAATTATTCAAACATAATGTTTTAGCTTCCAATCTACAATAAAAAAATGATCATTATAAATTATAGTTATAACAAATTCGAATTATTTTTCAAAGAGTATGATGCAAAATGATGACATTAGAAAACTATATTTGATGACAATATTAATGATAATTATTTTAAGCAAAAGTAGGGATGAAAAGTTGACGAAGATATAAAAATAATGTTAAGATAAAAAAAATATATGAAAGAATCATCATTACATAATTCATTTAAACTGGAATTAGTAATTATTCACATTTAGGATAGTCTTGAAAAAATTCGTGAATTAATATAATGGATGTATAACACTGTTAGGAGATGCAACAATAATTTATGTCGGAAAAGATATATAGATAGATGGGTAGCTTTAATCAATAAAGATGTTATTATTCTTATGCTTTCCAAGTAAATTTTCTTTTTGAAATAATTAGTTAATTACGACTTGAATTAAAGGCATTTTCAAATATTTATGTATCTCTTATGTTAATATGACTAGGGAATAACTATATATATCTAAGTATTATGAAATATTATACTTGCAAATATAATTACACTTGCAACCACAATAATCAAAATAATTGAGAACGAATTATTTAGAAATAGTTTGTTAGCTTCCAATAGACAACAAATAAATAATAATTATTATAAATTATAGTTATAGCAAATTTGAGTTATTTTTCAAAGAGTATGATGTAAAAGGATGACATTAGAAAGCTATATTATGAAGATACACCATTTTTTGTTAAACTAAATTAAAGAAAATTATATTATACTTTTAAATATAAACATAATACTAAAAATAATTTGAAAAAAAAATACCACGTGCGTAGCACGTGCATCTTCCTAGTCTGTTCTAAAATTAGTGAGTTTATCCACAATGGTAAAACAACACCGAAATACCATTCAAGTTAAAAGAAGTTTATGTTTGAAGACAAAGTTGTGATCATTCATAAGAAGAGTTTAAACAAAAAATAATGAGCTTTAGGATGTGAGTGAAAAGGATTAAGAATTCTACGCAAAGCCATGAGCTAAGCACCAAGGTAACTTGTCAGAGTTCCTGTCTAATTTAAGGCACAGCTTAGACCAGACAGCTTCCACTTGTATGCTTTCACGGTACCATATTCACCATTTCACTGTGACTAGACAACAAAAACAATAAATTAAAAGAGATGACCTTAGTAGGATTTCCCAGCTGATCAAATGCCTTTGATGCTGGAGGTCCTCGAACCTCAACTTGATTTGCCACCTGCTTATAACATAGATTGCCGACACTAACCTGCATATAACAAACATATGAGTGTGGAAAACCAAAAACAGGAATTTTTATTGTTTGTAACACAACTTTGTTTGCATGATAAAATAAAGCCACAGCAAAATACAAGGAAAAACTCTTAGTTCGAATTGAAGAAACTAACGGGATGTAAAGTCTCTTAAGGAAAATGCAAATGCTTGACCAAAGCAATCATCACTAGGCAATAGTTATATGAACATGAAAAAACAAAAAGAAGAGCTTATCTTAGTGAGATGATACCCCTTCTGAAAACTGGCCATTTGAATTATAAACAAAAAGTGATTCTGAAAAAATAGGATAAAAATGGCCATTTATGACAAGCAAAGTTTTTCATTTGACATAATCAGTTTTCTCTATGAAATGTCCTCCAGAATTGATGTTTCCAATTATTACTTACAACGCATAAGGTACATTATTGTACTCATTACAGGTGCTGAAGCAATTCAAAAGGTTGAAGCCAACATTGGGAGCAACAAACAGCAACAAATTCAACCATACCACAAGCCTACGCGGTGTTCCATACACTTGCACATTTGCATGACCCAGTCTTAGTTTCTCCAGCAACTGCTTGATGAAATCTTTGAGCTACAACAAACAGCATAACCAACATTTTAGAGCTGGCTGCTTTAAATTTGGCAAGAAAACGTTCTCTTTAATCACATATGAAACAAATGGCGTAAAATACTCAAACGGACCAGATATTAGAAGCTTCCTGGCTTAGTTACAACATATCAATAAGCAAAATTTCAATAAAGATGAAAAGGAGTGGCAGGAAAATATACAAATTAGTAAGCCTTGAGAATGTTAAACCAATAAAGATTACGAAGGAGAAACTACGGTACTTGACTGCAAGCGTTAACCACATCATTTGAGGGTAACTCCTCCATGCCAATTTCCAGAATAAAAGCCCGAGGTTCTGCAGAAACCTATAACGAAAAGGTATTACTATTATATAGCCAAATGAAGAGATAAAAACAAGAAAACAAACAATTAAATCTGCACTATCGTAGGTAAACTAATACATAGATGAAGAATGAGAATAATAAAGAATCAAATGGCATGTTACACCTCAAAATTTCAGTCGATATAACAAAATATTCCACACACTGGTACAACCTCCAAACAACGTAAATCTGATGCTTTGCTAAAATCTATTAAGGGACTCCATAAATTAAAGTCCCTGGTAAATAAGCATTGTAACAAGTAACTTAAGTGAGCACTATGTTTCTTAGGTTAGAGTAATCATAGTTAACATGACGAAGAGGAGCAGCTGATCATTTACAATATCAGAGAACATTGGAGCTGTAATGGTGGTCTAGCCTTCCAGGAGAATAAGACTGTATATCTTCACGAAGATCTTAGTGCGTTCATAAGGTTTCAGGTCTAAATTACCATGATTGGCAGGTCAAAACACCACTAAATTGCCATGATTGGCAGGTCAAAACACCACTTATAAATACATAGTTTCAGGTAAAGCCAGTTTTAAGAGAATTATGGAGATCTGCGGTGGGAATGTGACGGAAGTGTTCGTTATTTGACATCTACGGGTAACAAATAACTGCCTTTCTAACATAAATGAAGAATTCACCAACCTCTACCAGTGAAAAAATTCTAAAAGCAACTTTTCACAGTAAAATCTTCTGACAACTAGTCAGACATTAATAGCTGAGTTTCATCAATCTCGAAAGTTTTGAGTTCAAACATCTTCATTAGTTGTCTTCATTAGTTGTGTTTCTAAAGATATTTGCATTTTATGAATTTCAGATATACTGACATTTAAGAACGAAATGCGAATAAAGAAATGAGATCCAGATTGCCAGAGACGACTGACATGGTATAAGTATTTATAAGTGATACAGACTAGAGATTTCTACAGCACCTTTTTCTTCAGTTCTTCCATGTCTTCTTTCTGAAAGCTAAGGTGATTGGAATGAGAAGCAACGCCCAAGGGGTGCCCAAGAGATTCTCTTGTCTTCAACCATAGCTGCGCACATTGACGGGCTAAACTGGATGGAGGAGAACAATAATCTTAGATGATTTCAATTTGTCAACTGTCGTTATGATGACAGAGCTATCCATAATAAAATTCAAACAGGATGACAAACCTACGCATACGACCGAAATAATAGGTGGAGTGGCACTAACTAAATCAGAGAAGAAAGCAATGAGTAGATCTTTACAACTTAATGACTAAGAACAAAGTGACTTACTCTTAAACTCAAAATACATAAACCATTACTATTGTTTACTGTCTCGAATGAGATTGTATCACATAAAACAATATCAAACACGATGACAAACCTACGCATACGGCCGAAATAGCGGGCACGTTCAGTTACCCCTACAAATCCTCTGGAGTCCAAGACGTTGAAGGCATGAGATGTCTTCAAAAGCTGATCATACCTAACATGAAAGGAAACAGAGAGGTGGATGTCACTACAAGGTGAAAACAAAACAGAGATTTCCATATTTATTATGTCAAAGAGGTAAACTGATGTAAAGGACATACGCAGGAATTGCAAGGCCCGAGTCAAGCAGACGACGAGCTTCAGCCTCAAACAGATCAAAATGATTATGAATGTGATCAACGCTGGCATGCTCCAAATAATATGCACTCATTTCCTTCCTGAAACAGATTATGCACATTATGGTTCTTCTCTAGAAAAAATAAGCATGAACCTTAACAAAAAAACATGTTACTATATTTTATTTACTTTGGTCGTAACATCAAACTACAGTGTGGCAGTATTCTATTCATATCCAGGACTGAAGAAATAGTGGAGCGACATCAGAAATAAATAAAATCAATTGCTAACACACAGTAACGTTCTTGTATTATATTCTTAATTCGCATACTTATTATGAATATGATGTTAATTATTTTAATTAATACTACCTTATTGTGGAAACTTTATCTATATAAGATGCATATTGGGAAAGTTTATTCAAATTTATTTTTAGAATTTCAAAAGATACAAAGTTAAATAATAGAAAATACAAATTAAATATAGTTTGATTGATAACTTCCATATGTAATTGAACATAAAAATTAAATCTAAACATGCAAATAAATTTTATTGTTATCGCAATAGTAAGTCTAATATATATGATCAAATTAAACTTATGGAGAAAAAATTGATATTAATATGTGTACAGGTTTGGAATTAAAATCTTTTTATTATTTTTAGATATAACGTGTGTTTTTTATAACCAGTACAAAACAATTAATTTTAAAAAATATATATGTGTAGGTATATAGAGTATAATAAATCCCATGTACGTTGGACTAGTAACAAACAGCAACCAGCAGTTATCCACAAAAGTCACTATAATCATTTATTAACTCGTTTTCCAGAAAGAGTTCTCCATATGTTATCCCATCAGCATATTGAATTTTCTTGAAGTGATCAACTCCCTGCAGAGCAATTCAAACAACTTTCAGACAATCACGTCAGAGAGAACACAATAAAAGACAGAATCAGTGATGAGTGATGAGAAACGAGAAACCTGAAGCAACATAAGAATCCGTTCAAGACCGTAAGTAATCTCAACTGAAATAGGCATCAACTGAAGACTTCCAGCCTGGAATGGAGAGACAACTTCATGACATCAGAAAATCATAATATGATCCTGCCCTTAGACCATTAAGAAATTAGCAAATGGAAACATAGATGTATATTCTTGTTAGGAATAATCAAGAAACTTTGTAAGTACTCGTAGACTGAGAAAATAAAAGGACCTGCTGGAAGTAGGTGAATTGAGTAATCTCCATCCCATCCATCCAAATTTCCCAGCCCAAGCCCCAGGCACCTAAGACCTATCAGAATGAAAACACAACATAAACAAAACATAAGCATTCAATGCAAATTGGACCAGTGATCAAAAGTAGCAGAAGTCTAACCAATTAAATAAATAGCAATAGCACTGTAGCACCAGGGGATATCTAAGTATTCCCCAAATTCAACCTGAAAAATATGTTATGTACCAGATATGTGTCTCTATATTATGTAAATCATTAAATACAAAGCCTTACCGGGCTTTCCCAATTGTCCTCGACAAAACGAATATCGTGCTCATTTACATTAATCCCTGTTAACCATTAAATAGAAAAAATTGGTTAGGAGCAAACACATACGTGAAATAGTTTCAATCTTGTCATGACAGATATATCATTGTAACTAAGAGCCATAAGAAGAAAATGGTATGATGTAGAACCTAAGGCTGATAAACTCCGAATGAACAAGTCCTGTGAATTTCCAGGGTCAGGCTTCAATATCACCTGAGATAAATTAGAAAGGTAGAATATAAAAAACTAAAATAAACCAGAAAAGCTTTCGGAGGCTTTCATATGATAATATAGTTCTAGACTTAATGCGCTCCAAAATGCACCTGAAATTGTGTGTGCCTTTGAAGTCTGTTTGGATTTTCCCCATAACGACTATCATCAGGTCGAATACTAGGTTCAACATAGCTTCCAGTAGACACCAAAACATCAGTTACCTCATTGAGAAATAAAAGAGAATTGAAAAACAAAAACGCACAATGCTATGTGATAAAGGGAAAAAAAAATAAAAATAAAAATAAAAATAAAAAAGAAGAAGAAGAAGGGAGTGAGGAGAAAGAGACATGGATGCCAACAAGGGGTACCTATGAATTGATGAAGTGTAAAAAGGGACAGAGAGAGGACAAATATGAAATTTATGAAGCTTAAGTACACACTTACGCAACATTCCATGGTTCTGGACCAAGAACCCTTAGAAATGTAAGAGGGTTCATTGTTCCAGCTCCAACCTGTTCAATATTGTCAGAACATCTATAAGTTAAACAATCTATCAGAAAGCCAACTCAATTGGTGCAGATAATTTTGAACGAGATGAATGCACACACAACAAAACTAGACAAGAGTTGTGAGAAAGGATCCATGAACCCATTTTTTGCACAGTGTCACTGCACATCAAATACAATATGCATACCATTGCTTAAATACTCACTAAAGTCGCTATATATTAAAAAAGAAAATCATCACGGGCATCGTAGATAAGAAAAAGCTACCTAAAAACATTACTAGCATCAAGCAAAATCATCAAAGACTAACATGTTATTAGCAACGCACAAAGGAATTCTCATTGTTTCATAGTGATAAATGGGTTTGGGTAGAACTCATCCCCACAAAGGAAGTCTCATAGTTTCATAGCGATAAATGGGCTTGGGTAGAACTCATCCCCCACAAAGGAAGTCTCATAGTTTCATTGTGATAAATGGGTTTGGGTAGAACTCATCCCCAAAAGCTAGCTAAAAGGGAGAGGGTGCTCAACCTACACTTATTAACAATAACAGCTCAGTAACTAAATGAGGGGGGATGAACATAACTTCTAACACTCACCCTCACATGCAGAGAGCCAAAAACTAAGTGGGTTGGGTCCAAACTCAGCAACGCCTCCAAATAGACAGAACCTTATGCTCTGATACAATGATAAATGGGCTAGGGTAAAACTCATTCCCAAAATCTAGCTCAAAGGGTGAAGGTGTCTAACCCACACATGTGCTCAATAACACTCAATAACAGCCTAATAAATAATATATGTGGAACAAACATAACTTATACCGCATTCATTGATTAAAACATATATTACGAACCAAAAATTATTTTTCTGACTGTTCGGAGAACATTAAAAACTAAATTACCTCAGTGTTGCTGCATTGCATCACAGCACACCCTACCGAAGCCCAATATTCCTGCAGAATATAAAACTCAATATCCCTAAACACAACCTAAAAACAACATTTCATGGGCACTTGCGTTCAAAATTCATAAAAATAGAACTGGCTTGAATTAGAGAATTCCCCAAGCTACAAAGCAGAAATTAAATAAATGAAACAAGAAATAAATTTAAAATATGAAAATAATTCAAGAAACGGGGATTGCACAAATGTTGCAATTAATGCGTGATTGGTAAGCACAATAAGCCGGCTTATAGCTGATGTGGAGAGTTTATAATCTCCTTTTGCTCAAATAAGCCCCGTCTGAAAAGTAGCCTTTATCTCTATGCTTCCAAGCACCTCGTTTCTACCTCTTCTTTTAACCATTTTATTTCTCTATACAATTACATGGTCATGCCATGAGGTACTGAACCAAAAAATTTTCTTTAATTCCATTATTCCTTATCATTCTAAGATTTCCTCATGCAATTTTCTCTTCATGAGAATGAAATTAATCTCTTATTACTTATAAGTATTTTGTGATGTAGGAATATTATGATTTGGTCATTTTCAAACCATCAGTTCTGATGATGATGATGATGATTATATCAGTAATAAGTAATAATTATACATTACTTTTCGTGCAATTTCGTATTCCTGGGCTAGAATGACGGTAAAATTTGATAAATACTTAATGCTTTTGCTTCTATCAGTCTCTATCAACCTTATGTACCAGCAACTCTCATTTGTCAGCGTTGTCTCAGCTTCAACGGAGAAAAATGCCAGGTGCCGAATAATTTTCAATTATTTTCGGAGATACGCTTTGATCAATGCATCATTATGTTTCCACTCACTATATTACACTTCAAGGTACTTGAATCAATCCATGTTATCACGAAAAACCATAAGTCTGCCTAAGATATACCGGTAATTTCTTTCTACAAGTAATCCGTAAGCTGGGGCATAGCCAATAAGCAAAATCCACACACTATAGCCAATCACAATTAAGCATGCGCAGTATTTTCACCAATCTCACCTGGAGTCTTTGAATGGCTTGTTGGAAAGTGAGGACCGAGGATGAAGACGATCTCACGCAGTCCTGCTCCACGGCCGTCGAAGCAGAGGAAGTTATGCTCCCGGAGGTGGTGGAGAAATGCCTTCTCCGGAAAACGAGGGACAAATTAACCCTCCGGCCACTGAGGCATAGGCGAGCTTTGTCGGGCGTCGTTTTGAAAATGGATGTTACCAGTGGCAGGGAAAGTATTGCCATGGCTCGTGTTCTGAGCGCGAGTGGATGAGGAATGGAGATTTTAGTCAGTCGGGAGTTTGGAGAGGCTTTTATCGAATACACTTTATTAAAAAAAATAAAATAATAATAATAAATAATAACAAAAACATATATTATGTATATTAAAAATAATAAATGTAAGGGGCTAAAAGAGAGGAGTGCAGGACAAGTGTGGGAGTTTGGGGTATTCTGGCCAAAGGAATTTGATCTACTTGGCTTGGGCTTGTTAGCTAATGGGTTACACGCGAGTATCGACTCCATCTCCCTCGGGAGGGGCCGGGGAAATTGTAGCAATGGCGGCGGTTTGTTTCGAAGATTGGTCTCTGTGGGTGGATTCGCGATTACTCAGGGGCTTGTTTGGTTCTTTTTTCATCTTGTCTGCCAAGCTCGTTCTCCCCTCTCCTAGCATAAGTTTTTGCTCTTCGGTTCGGGTTGCGCGTTACGGTGTATTTGGGGTTAAAAATCCAGTTGATCTTATCAGACTCCATCGAAGTGGTTAGTAGTATTCTCTCTGTCACGATCTTGACCGTCTATTCGGGGTGTTTGTTGATATTATTAGCCTTTTGTCTCTTCTCGATTGTAGTCGATGTGAATACATATTTATGCCAAAACGGAGTAGTTCACAACATAGCAAAGTGAGTTGTTTTCTCGCATTCAAATAGTGTCTGGAGTGAGTCCCTCCCTATTTGGTTCTCTTCTTTCTTTTTGGATGTATCAGACTAATGTCCTTTTGGTTAGTTGGGTTGTTTAATTACCAAAAAAAAAAGTAATAATAATAATAAATGCAAGTGATGTTATAGAGTATAGCACACTTGATGACAACTTGGGTTACAACTCAAGAGTAAATGTTTTTTTTTTTTTTTTGATAATCTATTTAAACTGGATCCCTCTGCAGATCCAGTTTAAAAATGAATAAAATCAAATCCATTGATACTTCTAATTCTTTTCATTTCGTATTTGATTTTGTTTATTTTTATATTGTGTTTCTCATTGACTTGATTTATATATCGGTGTTATCTGAAGTTTGATTTGTGCTTGTTTAATGATTTTAGCTCGTGAGTTCTGGTTTGTATTTCGTTTTGATTTGTTGATGGATTTGTTTCCATTTTTAATTTATCATTTATATCATGAAATATCTTAAGATAAGAATGTGATTAGTCGAAAAAAATATGTATTTTATATATCTATTAGCGTATTTTTATATGTTTAATTTTATCGCACCTATATATTTTTCGACTTATTTATTTATTTAGATGGATTCATTTGCTTTGATTATTTTATGTTTATTTTCAGCTCATTGGAGTATTTTCTGGACACAAAGCATTGTACAACCAATCACTGGCGCATACCAGCAAGAATGTTAAATCTTAATTCAGGCTGAAATATCAAATATGTGTATGAATATATTATTCAACTAAAGTTAAAGGCAATGGATACCTGACCTGGAAGTGATATATGTATTAAAGGTTTGGATAGACGATTCTTTTGATAATTGTGAGCCAGTCGGTTTTGTTTGTAGTTGTATGAGTAATGTGTTAAACTGATGGATGCCCATTTTGGCTCTTGAGTTGCTGAACTATATTTGTTCTGCTTTTCATCAATTTCCAGCAGTATTTTGCATTTTGAGTTGTATGGTTTGATGTGCAAAAAAATGCAAATATTGACTTATGTATTATTGATTTCTTTCATTGACATTTCCCTGACAAACAAGGATATTGGGCCTCAAGACAACCCTTATGTTGGGGGAGTTTTTTTTGTCACTATTCACTTCCCTCCTAACTATCCATTCAAACTACCAAAGGTATGCTAGAAATGACTTCATCTTGGACTTGTTGGAGTTTCCAATTTGTAGTCCGCAAGTTAAAGCTGTGGCCATGAAAGATGTCCATTTTTCTACTTGGAATAAATTTTATATTCACATCTCGTAAAGCAATTAGAATGAAATGGGAATCGCATGTCCTAAATTTGGGGAAAAATCGTGCCTTTTTT